TTTTTAAAAAGATTAAGAAAATAAATATTTTTAATAAAAATTAAAAACAAATTTATATTAAAATAAAAAAATAAAAAAAAACCACGTGGGAACCTTACGCGGGGTGCTTAAGGGTGAGACCCACCCTATATTTTCTTTTTCTTTTTTAAATTGGAAATCATAACTTTTATTAATTACAAAAGACCCCATGTATTTAAGGTTGTAAATGAACCGAATGAACATAGACTTGTTCATGTTCGTTCGTTTATCTTAACCGAACAAACGGACGAATACGAACGAAAATAATTGTGTTCGTGTTCGTTCATTTAGAAATCAGGTGTGTTCGTGTTCGTTTATGTTCGTTCGTTAACATGCTAAACGAATGTAAACGAACAAACATAAACGAACGGGTTAAACGAACGTAAACGAACGGGTTAAACGAACGTAAACGAACGGGTTAAACGAACGTAAACGAACATAAATGAACAGACCTAAACGAACATAAACAAACGAACACCAATACTTGTCATTAAATTCATGGATTATCTATAGTTTAAACATATACAAAACAATCATCATTCATTAACCATCATTAATATACCAATACATAAAAGGCTTTTTAAAATTTGAATTCAAACTAAATAAATAAGACTTATATATTAAAATTAATATATAAACGAACATAAATTAAAATTAATTTATAAACGAACATAAATTAAAATTAATATATAAACGAACATAAACGAACGTAAATGAACGAACGTTAACGAACATAAATGAACGAACGAGACTCTCGTTCATGTTCGTTCGTTTAACTAAACGAACAAAAAAATTTGTTCATGTTTGTTCATTTATTAAATAAACGAACATAAACGAACTTCCCGCCGAGCGGTTCGCTAAACGTTCGGTTCGTTTATAGCCCTACCTGTACTGTACTCACCAAACGGTGCTTAGTGAGTAACCCACTTAGTGAGTAACCCATGGTTATTTTGTGAATTTTTTTAAAAATAAGGTTAAAAATGTAAATTGATAATTATGGATGGTTATTTTGGTAAGGAACCCATGACATCAAACGGTTAGGATTAGATCCTAGACCAAGAATTTTGGAAAAGCTGGAGAAGGACTGAATCATTTCTCTGGGCCCGAATAAGAAGCTACTGCTAATTTGTATTCCTCCATCTTCTCCGAGAAAAAGCAAATTTATTATAATTAATTTAGTGCAGGAAATCAAATCAAAAACTAATTAAAAATGTCAGATGTGGAGCTTCACTTTGAGTTCAATGCTGATGCAGGTGCATCCAAAACCTTCCCACAACAAGCTGGAACCATCCGAAAGAATGGTTACATTGTCATCAAGAACAGACCCTGCAAGGTATATATACCTATACATATACATACATTTCTTATATATATATATATATATATATATAATCATGGGTTTTTTTGATTTTGATCCATTTTGTGTTCTATGAAATGGGTTTGTATTTATATATGTAATAAAAAGTGATTTTCATATGGATTTTTGAGGATTGATCTTGAATGCTATTGGGAGATCCCTTGATTCCATATAAATATTTATCTAGATCAGTATATATTGTAAATTAAATGTAAATATGATCAGAGGTTTATGCATGATGATTCGAGAAAAGTTGAAAATAGGATCCATCGTTAACGATATTGGATACCTAAAAGAGATGGATGCATGTTCTTCATGATTGGTGAATTTTGCATATATACCATCCATGGTGGTTCTCAGTTGATCTTCTAATTGCTTCAAAGATAAAATATATGTTTAGATCCATGAAATGCTTTGTTTGTAGGCTTCAAACAATTCTTCATCTCTAACACTATCTTTTTCTAGACTTACAGAGTGTCAAAGACATACCTAGATTTTTTTTTTCAAGTAATAACACCGTTTGACAGTAAGATATCAGCAACTGACTTTTTTGGAGCATCTTCATGAGTCTCACATACAATCAAGCTTCTAGTTGTTTATATCATTACTTTTGTGCTTCTATTTTTTATTTTTTGAATTCCATTATCATTTATGCTCACGTCAAAGATAGCGAGACTAAAATCATATTTTTCATAAACATACAGACGGACCCACAAAATAGATGACGAATTTCGCAAGATTTCTTGTTTACTTTGTGTAATGGTCAAGTCTTACAGGTTTTGATGAACTCAGTAAAATCGACGAGAGAGACTTCTCCATGAATTTGTATGAATAAGCATCATATGCCTTCTGAACCTTCTAATTAGCCTTCATATTTGATTTCTAGTTTCATAGAAGTTTATGGTTTTTGCTCCTTAATTTATGGTTTGTCATATTGGTATAATATAACTCGACAATCTACAGGTTGTTGAGGTTTCTACTTCAAAAACTGGCAAGCACGGACATGCAAAATGTCATTTTGTGGGTATTGATGTATTTACTGGCAAGAAGCTTGAAGATATTGTTCCTTCATCTCACAATTGTGATGTAATTTCTTCTTCAATTCAATCTGGTTTCTCCATTCTATTTCTTCCTTCACAAAATTCTATGGTATTTGTATTGCGATTGAGATATTTTGTTGCTTACATTTGTACACATATGTTCTTGTAGGTTCCTCATGTCTCTCGTACAGATTATCAACTTATTGATATCTCTGAAGATGGTTTTGTAAGTTTGTGCAACATATATATATATATATATATATATATATATATATATATATATATATATATACACTTTCCTTTGTCTTCTTTAATGTTGATAAGCTTCAAATGTGTAATTCGATAAAAGAAGTAATTTACCAGTAACGTGACTGTTTTTGTTGTAGGTGAGTCTTCTGACTGAAAGTGGGACCACCAAAGATGATCTCAGGCTTCCCACAGACGAAAATCTTGTTGCTCAGGTATGTCTATGTTGATCTTTAAAGACAAGTAATCTGTAGTTATCACCAATGTTACATAACTATGTGTAGTAGTGAGTTTGGAATAGAGGTGAACATGGTATAATACTATATGTTTTTTCCTCCATACCATGTACCAACCAACTTATAGTTGGTAAGGGAAATCTTATACCGAGATACAAACTGCTATAATTTTAGGGAATAAAAGAGCCAACTTATTGTTTTTTCTTGGAGTAGATTTTGTTTGAGTACATCTTATGAGCAAGAAATGGTACACAAGACACACTGTCATATGAATTCAAGTTCTATACATCTTGTCATCTGAATTCACGTTCTATAGTTTATTTAACGGTTTTGTTCATTTTCTTTTTATTTAAAATTGTAGATTAAAGATGGGTTTGCTGAAGGAAAAGATCTCGTGGTAAGCGTTATGTCCGCAATGGGAGAAGAACAAATCAATTCTCTTAAGGACATTGGCAAGAATTAGAGACATTGTTTGGTATTCTTTTGCTATGACCAGGAGTCATGTTTATTTTTTCTAGGGGTAACCTACTCTTTGATCTACAAAATGGTCTTTTTGTTATCGTCACAAACTTATTTGCGGTATCTTTAAAACTAAAGGTGAGTGATTTGTGGATTGATGCATTCGTATTTTTATTCTCATTTGCTTATTAGTATTTAAATCATATATACAAGTTTATTTGAATATGCACATTTTCGGAAAACACATATACAATCACAACCTATAGAATCAAGAACGATCCTTCTAAGTGTAATTCTTACTTATTTTTTAAGGGTAAAATAGTCTTTTTGATAAATTTCACACTCTTTTGTACATAACATTGTGCTATATATAATCATCAAACCCTTTCTCTTTCCCCCCTTTTTTTTCTCTTTGGATTTGAGAAAATACTTTGGTACAAAAATAATACGTTTTAAAAGTTGTTAGAATAAAATGTAAACACATTCACAAATAAAAATTAAATAAATCATCTTAAAATCAGAACATTAAACCGGAACATCGTTTCTAAATGCAACATAAATAAATTTCAAAGCATGATAGTTAAACCAAGTATATTTTCTTAAATCTCAGTGAACATTCAAAGTATGAACGATATATTAGCCACTAAATACTAGGTTTGCATTCCAACCTCTGCACTTTTGAATCTTCATATACACTTTTTATTTTCTTATTGCTACGTGTAACATCCTAAATTTAGAAAATAACAGAAAAATTTAAAACTTGTAAATGCCTTCAATTTAAAGCAACTTTGACACAGAAATACATAAAATTTACCTGAAAAGGAGAACATGAAATGTATCAGAGTTCTTAACGAGACTATCTAATTTCTAAACAGAATTAGAACAAGTTGGATGTTACTAAACCACCAGATTTGCTATCTTCAAAATCGGATGACACCTCTAAAATCATCCTCTTGGAATCTCTACCAATCTCCAAACGACACAAGATCCTACTAAGACATGATATACACGTCGAAAAGAAAAAGTGTTAGGCTTAATGTCTAGTGAGTTAAAACAGTTTATCTCATAAACATAAAATAGTAAAATCGGAAGAGTTCTTTTTAATCACCAGTTCCTTATTTAAAATAACATTTAGAATCAAAAGGAGTATTTTTGCAGAACCCACTATTTGTAAAATGAAATCTAATAACATGATATACTTGTTTTAGATCAAAATCGGCATTCAAACTCATACGAGTAATAAAGGGCTTCACTCCACAAAACACCCAAAATAAAATAATACTTTGTACGCCAAATCACTGAAAGCGTAGATGAACTCGATACCAAAACAACATCTTTTGGTGATGGGGAGATTTGTTTTCATCTACTATATTGAAACACAAAGTAAGTCATGTGTCCAATTTATCAAGTAGCGCCTTAAGATCACGGTCTCATGTCTAACTCCTTTCAAGTTTCCACAACAATCCCAAGGTCCCGGAGCCTGACCTCACATGAGTTCATCTTTGCAATACCCTTGACCTTAATGCCTACTTACACACCATAGAGTTACACCTACAAGTCAATGGTCCTAGAGCCTGACTCCACACAAGTTCATCCCCAAAATACCCTCGATGACGTAGTGTCAACTTTACTAGGCCAAAGTCTCAAAACATGGTTTCTGGTGTCTACTCTTTATGAGTTCATCACTACAATACCTAGGTTCCTGGAATCCGACTCAATAGGAGATCATCTCCTCAATACCCACGATCTCGGACTCCGACCCCACATGAGTCCCTCTCTACAATACCAAAGGTATCAAAGTCCAACGCTACATGGGTTCCTCGCTTAACAAAAGACTGAATCGCATGCCCATGGATCCAATGCATTACATTGTAAATTACATGACTCCAACTAAATGTAAAACACAATCAAAACACGTAATATCCAAACAAAAGTGCAATAAATGCATTTTATGTTCAAAGCTTCATATTGAGTTATTTAAATCGAAAAAAAAGTCCCCAAACTCATTGATTTAAAATCAAGCCAGTAAGCCCACCAGTATACATGACTATTTAAATAAATCCAATGTAGACCACATAAGTCGAGAAGACATGTTTTACAAACGTCTAAGAAACACATGACATCTATAACATGAACATGCCCATAAATCATCACTTTGTTGAAGCATAATAGAAAAAAGTTCAAAACCGTAAGATTTGTATTTTCAAGATTCCACAAGACCAATAATAGGTGTTTATCAAGGTTTTAAACACTTATAACCAAAAAGTTGATCAAGTGCCACCACTAAAATTCATAAGTTACTTTAAATCTCACAACAACACTTCCCAATGATTAAAACAATGTTTTGCCCCAAATTATCCAAGTATATAAAGAAACCTCATTTGATGCAACACATATCACTGAAAACCATCTTTTAAGATTATGTCTCAAAATAATCAATAAACACCTTCTAAAACATTCTTCCAAGATTTGAGACCCAAAACATACCTAAATGCGCCAAAAATCATAAAACTCACCGAATGAGAAATAACTCATGGAAATGTATTCAAAACCCAAAATAGAGATATTTTGACATGTATATAGTTTTGCAAATCAATTTCAACTCACCTTTCTAGATTTATGCTAAATCTAGGTTCCAAACCAAACCTTGAGCTTCCTTTGGTGAAGACTCGAAATCCTCAAGCAAGACTCTCATATTTAAGTTGCAAATCTCTCAAGAATACTCCCTTAAACTCCCAATCTATAGCAGAACACCACAAAGAGGATAAGGAAGTTGAGGATGCAAGGTGACGAAACCCTAGGTCAAGAAGTTATAGTTTAGAAGCTTACCTACAACCTTCTAGGAACTCTAAAATTATCAAGAAACTTAATATTCTTCAATATCCCCTTAAAGAGCTTCAAAAAAACGAGTCTATAGCCTCCAAAATCGCCTAAATCGGATAAGGGATGACAAAAATAGAGTAAAATGAAAAATCCCCAAAAATTAGATTTTATGCAGGTTATGATCCCCCCATGCGACCTTGCCACAACCTAAGTTGCGGGGTAGGTCACATGCATCCACTAGTATGACACATAGGGTCTTGCGACCTTGGCCGTGATTTAGGTCATGTGCCAAGTCACCTAGACCTCCACGTGCCGTGTTACCATGTTGTGTCGTGCCATATACCCACACCGTGTCATGCCATGCCATGATCCACGTCGTTCACCGATTGTTTCCTGGCTGTTTACTAACCGTTTCCTAAACCGTTCTCCCGACCATTTTCCGGATCATTTCCAAAAATTACGGGTGTTACACTATGTACAACCAATCACATATTTTTTAGGATGCAAAATTTATGAAAAAATGTCTAGCGAGTTCAAGGTTTTCATACAAAAATATTGTTGGTTCTGATAAGGTTAGATGACTTCACAAAGTAAGTTTTGCAGAAAAGTGGGGGTTTTAATACAAACACAATCTTTTCCAAACTGCAACTCTTTTTATTGGATAAAATGTGCTTAATAAAAAATTACAGATTGTTGAGACTGAAATTAGGGAAAGATAAACCTAACCTAAACAATCTAATTTTCATGACAAATGTTATTAAGAAACCACAAAGACAGAGTCATTAAGTATTTCTCTCACACATACATTAATACTAACTGATGACTTTCACACATAATTCTTCCTCAAATGCACTTAGAAGTATCAACTTGTTCAACATGAAAGACATGGATGGATACTAATATATATATATATATATATATAAGTATAGCATTTACCAACTCCTTCCTTGCAAGTTTCATCATTTGAATGGTGGTCTTGAGCATTGTACCACCCTAAATTTTATGCATATGAATGATATGTGGCTTGGTAGAACTATATGGGTTCATCAAGTAAAACCATGTGGGCTTAGCATATAGAACCATGTGTGTTTACACGCTGGTTATATACCTACGTAATTTACGCACGAGTTGTACACTTGTGCGGGTTTATGAGAGAGTTTTACACCCGAGCAGGTTTATGAGAGTTATACATCCAGGCGAGTTTATGCACAAATTTAGTTGAGTCATTAGTAGCGTGAGCTTTGTTTGGACACAGAAGACTTACCACATGACCTAGATCACGAAAAAAGTTGTCGGAAGCCATTTGGGCGAATTTTAAGTCGATTTTCAAGTTTCCTCTAGTTTGGGCGATTTTAGAGCCCTAAGGTCCGAGTTTTGGAGGATTTTTTAGGGCAAATGGAAGGATTAACATCGGGAGGTTTTGGACGTTTTGTAAACAAATCATAAAAGTGTGATCAATTTGATGATATATGCACATAATGGTGATTATTTGACATTATTGTACCTTGGTGTATTAGTGTTATAAATATTTGAGAAATGCTTATGATTATTGGTTTACAGGTACCATTGACATCAACCAAATACTCTGAATGCATACAATAGAGCGGGTGAGAACATATCCGACTAATAATCTTTGTTTACGTGAACTACCCAATAACTGATGAACTGAATATAAATTGATCTAACTAACTAATTCTAACAATAATATACAATCAATCAACAAGCTATTTACTTACAACTATATTTCATTCGGTACTAAATTATATAGATGATTAAAATGGTAATTTGTTATCATTTAGAGAATAGTTACCAAACAACATTATTTCATTCGACGCTTAATCATTCTGGTTCTCTTAACCATTCTGCATCAAACCATTCAGCAACTGACAAACAGGCCATAAGTTAAACATAAGTCACGTTTTATATTTAGGACTTGTTTTTTTTTTTTTTTTATAAAAAAAGCTTTAATTAATCTTTTATGTCTGATTTATTAAGAGTAAGGATTATTCAGACTGTTTGTTTTTTTTTTCAATTTTTCAGAGGTATATATGTCTTATTACCTTTTTATATGGTAAGAGATAAACCAACATCTTATTTTCCTATTATTGTTTTTCAAAACCCTCTACAACGGCGTTTCTCAATCGATTAACCTTAATCAATCATTTCTCTCAATCGATCTTTAATAAATGCATCTCACATCTCTCAATTAATGTATTTTAATATGATTTAAATGTGTTAAATACCGTTAATGACATATTTTTGTTAAATAAATGTTAATTATATAATTAGATGTAAATTTCGTAATGATGATGAATAAATATGTGAAATTGTATAAATTTATCTACAAATTCAACTATATAACTTTTTAATGTGTAAAATAGATAATTTAAACAAATTCAGACGTTTTAAACAAACTCAAACGTTTATCAATTTACAAAAAGCAAACAGTTTTATTGATTCAAATTCCAGACTTCAACACCACCTCTTATAAATCAGAAGTGAAATAAGACTTCAGACTTCAATACCTCTTATAAAAACAAATGTCACCTTAATGTTTGAATTCATCTAATTTAATCAAAATGGTTATATTATTCTAGAACAACTAGATTAAATAAAACATAATTAACCCGCATATTTAGTTTACATGAAATAGAATTAGATTATATGGAGAGACTCAATGTAGAGCATATGTCTTGTTCATCTGTCGTAGTGTAAAAAGATTTATGATCATGAAAAATATCACCATATTAATTTGTTTTGTGTTACCGTATATATTTTAAAACTATAATGAGAACACAAATTTTTCTTGGTAGAATTGATTTACAAGGCTTTTTTTCCACCCCAGACCCGAGTTTAAATCATGTTAGTGTCATTTTTTTTGGTTTTTAACTTTTAATTCTAAATCTATTATATTTTTGAAAAAAAAATTGCAATAAAAAACTTGAACACAAAACCTCACATATGAAAAACAATGAACTAACCAACAAACTAATGATAATTTTATGAAAGATATTCCTATTTGTTTTTTATAATCAAATGATGTCACATTTTAAAAGAAATTCTATATCAATCCTTATTAAATTGTAATTCAAATTCTTTATGATCACATGTTTGATTTGTAGATATCTTTTTTAATTAAAATGTAAACAATAATGATTAATCATATTACATTTCACTCGGTTGCTCTTTATTCACTAAACGAAATAACAACAGTGAGTAATTATTAAGATGATAAAAATAATTAAAAATAGGAAAAGAAAAATTAATATTTTTTAAAAATGTTTGAGCATGTAAATTTGTACAATTAGAAACAGTATCAAATGAAATGAAAAAAATGACAAAAATACCCTTGTGTAGACATATGTAGAAAGCTTAACAGAGTAATTTTAAGGAAAGTTAATGTTAGACCTGATATATAACGAAAATGAAACTATAACAAGCGAAAGTCGGCCTTAGTCATCCGACAGTGCCAAGTGGAAGGGAAACATGCTCAATATTATTTGATTGAATAGTTGACCCAGCCCCTTGTGGATGAAATGCCACTCAAACTATAATTGATTTATGTGTGAATTTGGATTAGATTATTATCGTTCTTTTTTAAATGCCTTAAATCAAGAATTACTCACTAGACCCTTAGGTCTAACCCACGTTATTTTAAACGCTAAATGCATTTCAGGGCACTCGTTAGTAGGAGGTGTGGGCAAAGGCAAGGGTAAGATGTGATCAGTTTTGATAGAGGATTATGGCATCGTGAACCTCGTTCTACTTTGACAGATTTTAGACGTTTAACTAAAGACGTGTAATAAGTTCTCTTTGTGGTTCCACTATAACTGGGAGAACTATTTTTTCCTTACGCATTATGTATTGGTTTAGACCAAATTTGAGCTCGTTATTGAACTTCTCGCTAATTCTTTCTCGAGCCTTTAGCTAGCACTCATCACACCTCTGTATGCTAGTACCATTTCCCGAATGACCTGATGCACATGTCAATAAAGAAAAAAAGGTTAAGCTTAATGCCTAATGAGTTCATGTAGTTTTCATCATTTAGATAAAGCGGTAAAATGGAAAGAATGAATGTTATTTATATCACAATTTCTAACATGAGATGCATTTAGAATAAAACTGATACATTTCCCAAATCCACCGTTTTTCGTGATAAAACACTTAAATAGAAATATCCTACAAATGTGGAACCAAATCCAAAACTCGCACAAAACACAAATAGGATTAAAACCCGAGTACCAAAAATGTGAATATAACTCTTCTATCCCAAAACCTTAATAATATATCGGAGGGGGTCCAATATATCATAATCATAACTTATGGTTACTTGCCAAAACCCAAGTGATATAAAAACGTGGATAATACACAATTCAAAATAACATTCAAGAACGACGGGGGAGACCTGTATCTATTGATAGTTACGTGAACATGTAAGTGTGCCACTCGTCCAACGTTAATTGCATGACACTTCATGATTTAAAGCACGAATGTCCCTACGACTCCTTAACAAGTTGCACCTCAAGAGTCGGTTGACCTTGGTGTCTATTTTTGGAAATTCCACTTCAAGGCTCGGCCCACTTATTGTCCACCTAAAAGGGAACACCTTAAGCGGCGGAGATCCTGGTGTCTTACCAAGACATCACTTCCGGACTCAACCCTCCTACTGACTACTTGAAAAGTTTAAGGTCATAAAACAAGGGTCCCGGAGTTCAAGCCCTCAATACCCTCACGACCATCGTACAAGATCGACCCACATGCCTATAGATCCAATGCATCACAGTCTAAGTTACATGACTCCAAATGAACGACCAAGACACTCAAAAACATGTAATTGTATAAACAAATATGCTATAAATGCATATAACTCTTAAAAGCTCAATATAGAGCCATTCAAACCGGAAAAATGTCTCGAAGACTCATTTAAGTCAAAACCGAGCCAAAAGTTCAATAATTCAATTGATAATAAATAAAAGTCATCAAAAACAATAAAACACATTTAATTCACGTTTATGCAAAACATGCTCTAGAAGTATGATTTTACTCATAAAAAACATCCATAATTAGTTGGGACAAACTTTTTTCAAACCGAAATCATACTATTTATATTTTCATAGTGCGCTCATAACATAAATATATGTATTTTCCAAACGGTTTATAAAACCAACTACACAAAAAATGCATATAAATCAAATAATCCCCATTTATGAGATAAATCATCAAAAGAATCCACACTTATGATTTATTTAACAAAATATTTAAAGATTCCAAATATATACATTTTTCAAGATATATTAACCCAAAAACACTAAGTGTGTGAACTCCATCAAATATCAACACATTTGATAAATAGTAAGAAAAACATTTCACTATATCAAAATACACATTTTTGTACATAGTTTTCAGAAGGTAACTTTGAACTTACCTTGTTAGGTTAAGTTAAACCTAGGTTCCAATTCTATCTCTAGTTTCAAAAATGGTGAAGGCTTTAGATCCATCAACACCCATCTCTTGAAACTTTATCTGGTTTACAACCAAAGCCTAGAGATGTACCAAGAGTAACCCAAAACTCATATTCATAACAAACCTTAGCCAAATCCTTTAATCATCTAAAACACCCAAAATTGGTCAAAACCTCAAAACATGAAAGATACTTCCAAATAGGTGTTCCAGGAGGCTAAAACGAAAAGTTTTTAACAAAAATAAAGATTTAGAAGGTTAAGATAGACTTCCAATTCATTTTTAGGAAAAAGCCCAAAAAAACTAGGTTAATAGTGGTGGAAGAATGGTTGGAGAAAATGAAGATCTTGAGCTTCATTCCACTAGCTTTAATCTCTAGCTCTTGATCATACAGAAATCGATTGGGTGGAGTGAAGGTGCTTGACCAAGTTTGATTGAGAGAGAAATGAGTTAGAAGATGAGAAATGAGATGAAAATGATAACAAATCGGATTTAAGGACATCCCTCCAACTTCCAACTTTATGCCCACTTTACGAGCGTGAAGGCCATTTTTCATTGGCGCGAAGAAAAGTTGCCAGAAAGTTAATTTTCTTAACTATTTAGTCAAAGATGTATTTAAAACCTCAAAATACACATAATAAAATCTGGGTGTTACAATGAACCCCCTCCCCCCATCATGAATAATGTATTTCATAATGAATGTGTATTATTTATCATGAATAGTGAATCAATTTAATATGAATTATGATCGTGTATTATTCATCATGAATGTTATATCATTCATTATGAATAGTTCATGAACGTTCACTTTCTTTATTCCTATTGAATGCCCGTCGTTATTCATACTGAATGTGGACAATGGGGATACGTTTCTCGCTCTCCTTTTTCCCCTGGTTCACAACCGAAAATAGGTTTGCAATTGAACTTTCTCTCTCTCTCTCTCTCTATATATATATATATATGTGTGTGTGTAACTTTATAAAATTTATATATTAACGACGGGTTGATAGGTTGGGCGGATTGAGCTAGGCCTAACTCAATTTCAACCATCTTAATTAACGTTTTGACGGGCTAACAGTTTAACGAGTTGGATTATTTGGGTTGGACAGATTTCACGAGTTAACCATTTTCTGTACACCCATAATCTTTAGAATGGATGTCACAAATTTTGGAGTTTTGCCATCTTTAAAGTAAAAGTGTTACGTTATATTTTATTAACGAATAAAATTTGTTGCTTTGTAAAATGAGCATGTTAAAAGCGATATACGGTACATCATACTGAGTTGCAGGCCTCACGAAACGACTTTTCTTCTCTACACAAACACACTAAAGAATCCCACCAGATTTTCATTTTTGGTACTTTGATCACACACTCGATTCCACAAATTCTGCCATGGATGATGACAGTGATCGAAGCTCCGAAGAAACTCAATTGGAAGAAAATTCAACAGCAGAGGACGCGAACAACCTCGACGATGACGACGCTGAAGATTCCGCCGGGGTTGATGAAAACACTGATGATCAAAGAGATGTTAGTCCACTAGAAATTTCTCATGTATCAGCCGAAGAAGATTTGAGAACTTGTCGATCTTTGACCCTAGTCTCTGGTGCGTATATCGATTTTATGTAAACTGAAGCAATTGTGTTTTTCTTCAAGTATGCGTACATGAAATGGCTTTATGTATGTGGTTAGGTTTGTCGGAGGTGCCGGTGAAATACGAGATGCGACGGGATGAGTTGGAGCACTTGAAGGTATGCTACTAGTGAGCTTACACTACCACTTTTTATTGGGGAGAAATTTTATGTAGTTTACATAGTAAAGTCTGTGCGATCCGTTTCCATTTGTATCGGTCTAAGCAAGTAATGGAATTCTTGAATATATATGCTAGCTAAGTTAACTGAGATTACCAAGAAGCGGAGCTAAAGAACAATGACTTCAATCTTCCTAAAAGAGCGACTTTTTTTTTCTAATGCTGAACCCTGTACTTTAGAAGTATACAGTTGATGTGAATTATGTTACTAATCTATCACCAACATTTGCATTTTTAATTTTTTTTGTGCCATAAAGGACTGAATCCTGTTCAACTATAAGCGACATTTTCTATTTTCCAAAGTCGAATTGTGTTCTTTAAGATGGAGGATGGATCATTTTCAATCTTCTTGCATTGAATAATTCACGTGAATAGAAATTATGTGATCCGGTGCAACTTGGCTTTGGAATTGTATAAGTTGATCTGGCATCGCTTGAGCATGAGTCAAGTTGTGAACCAGACCCATCACTTCCCCCGTGATTTAATGATGCTCTAATTAATCCTTATCTGTTTGATGTAGAAGCTTATTGTGCTTATTGGTAGTTTAGTATCAGTAGTGAACTTAACTGCACTTGTTGGCATTTGGGTTTGTATTGTCATGGACTTTAGGATTCAGGTATTTGGATCGTTATTTTATGGGAAGAACGTGTGATATATTAGGAGTTGCATATTTGGATGTTATTCCATAGCAGTTGACAGAAAATCCAAAAGGAAGGGAAAATAAAGGAAAAAGTAGAAGAAAATAGGAAGTAGGAGAGGAATCAATTGCCTAGTTTGTGTTCGGAAACTGAAGAATGCAAGATTTGTGTATGGGATACCTTTTGTTTGAAGAAAACTGGTACAAAGCTTTGTTCCACGCCATTGCTGCATCAATTGATTATGTTACCATTGTGGCATTGCCCACATATGGTCCCCTCTATCTTGTCAATCTAAAACAGCAGCACCAGCACTTTCACCAGTACTTTATTTTGTTCTTGCCCCTTCACCAATTTGACTTTTTCTGCTGTATCTTTTCATAGAAGGCAAGGTCGAGTGGGGATTCAATCCCATGACCTACGACCTATTATCACCTAGGGGATGGGCCTAGATACCACACAACTGAATGCTTGATGACTTTTGTGTACTGTCTTTAACCTTTGCATTGCATCAAACTCTCCCATGCAACCATATCTTGTATTATTTTCGTTGCTGGTATCATTTTTTCCTCTTGTCCTTCATTTTTTATGATGCAGTACCATCGACTCAAATGTAGCCATGCCTTACTGCATGATGAACCTGCATTTAGTTGTGAGGAAAGTAATTTTTGTGGAAGGTTCACGTTAAGGAAATCAATTGGAGAACACCTATTAGAGCTTTACATGGCCATACTTAGCTGACTCAGGACTAATAGAAAGTGCTTAGTTAACACTCTCTGCATATCGTTCTCTTACGAGGCTTAATATTGTAATTGATGTGCATGCCTGAATTTCATTTTCGTAAAATGATCTTCTCGTAGCTAGGTGTCATCTGAAAAGAATAAGGAAACCTTGTTGATATAGTTAGTTTCATTGTCTGTGTTTAGGCTGTACATAAATATTGAGTTGATGAAATGAAGTTAAGGTTTCATTCATTCATTGTAGCTTAATTACATAGTTTTAGTTAAAGAATCTAGAGTATTCTGAAGTTTACAAGTTGAGACTTTGTTGCAATTCTCGAAATGTGCAAGGGAAAAAAAGCCTCTGATAGTATTTTTGTAGGTAGGTAGCTACTGCACAATAGCTAGAGCATTCATTTTGGCAATATTAGCCTAATAATCTATCAATCTGTGAGAGTTGTGACGGTGGTTCCAAGGTGCAAACATGGTATTTAATTGTCTATAAGTTGTTAACTTAGTAGCGACTAGGCTAAGGCCGTGGCTATATTTTAAAGGCATAAAAGTATTGAACAACCCAATTATGTTAGCAGTTATCAGTAGTTGCTTAGCTTGGCCATTATAGATTTTCTTTTTATAAATAATCAATTGCCTTGTTGATCGTCTCGCCATAATACTCAACCATCTCTATTGGAGCCTCTTAGAAGACCGATAGTTGGAGGTACTCTGCATTCCAAATAGTTTTTTTGAGGAATGGAATCAAAATGGTAGTGATACATTTTTTTGGGTAGATTTTATGTGTGGACTCATCCACCGTCTCCTATATCTGATAAGGCCAATAAATGTATCAACAGAATCCTGTCTCATTTAAGAGATTTATTTTGTTAGAACTGTAATTTTTTCTGTTTCAGCTTCTTCACAAGATTTGATGCAGGGTTCATGCACCCCACCTTCTCAGACAAAATGAAATCCTTGACATTTTGAAAATCTTTATGGTCTTGGTCTTTAGCCTGTAGGTATTGACTTCTTTGGGAGTAGGTCCAGTTTCTATCAGCTAAGGCTACTGGATAGCCACAGTTTCCTCTCTAGAGCTACTTCAACCTATGCCTCAGCCATTTATCCATTACAGACAAATTGATCTTCTATGGTTTTCATCTTACCCTTAGTTTGGAGCGTCCTCCAACTGCGTACACGCTAGTATGTTAAATGAAACTTCAACTATGCATTTTTCTGTTGCTTGTGGTGAACTCCTTGTCCATGAACTATCTGAAACCTAGAACTAGAACTTCAACTGTAATATATTTCTTTATTCAAAATTTGTTCTCCAGCAGCTTTTTAATTTGAATGCAAGCAACAGCGCCTTGAGCTTGCAACTTCTTTATCATATAGCTTGGAATACTTTTTTTCTGGGTGAAGCATATTCTCTTGTCCTACTGACCTAGTTGGAATTAACAAACTCATGACACTAAAGCTGAAAATTTTGGGTAATAAACTCGAACAAAAACCGTTATCAAAGTTGGTTTAGGTGTTAGACAAAAATATATAAACAAGTTTGAGTTTGCAAATTGTTTGTGAAATGTTAAGATAAGCAAGTTTGTCAGTACATTTGTGAGCGTTGTCTTGTTCACATACTTGTTAAGAAGTGGATTATGTTTGTGATTGTGCTATGTGTCATGAACATGGTCATTATATGTGATCGATTTGAACTGTATATTTATCCTTTTTAATGCCTCATGTAATTGGATGTATAAACACCTCTTTATATTAAAATTTTAATTTAGTTGGCAACAGAAATTGGTAAACATCTCTCTTCATACCTACGATTAGTGATTCTGCATTTAAATTCAATAGTGGTTTAATTGCTCTCTGTGTGCCATGTTAGGTGCCCTCCTTTAGCTTGTACTGTCATTCAGGAACTATTTTGTAAACCCAACATGAAATTCCTTTTTTACTTCATATACCAAGATGTCAAGCCCACCCCAGAATTTATTATGTCTATCTAACCAGGTGATAAAAGCAAAAGATGCATGACATATATCATGTTCAAGAGAGTAGACAATTATTGTTGGACTTCAGAAAAGGAATGAATACACTATTATAAACAAAATGAATTGAGCTGTGATAGATTGTAAATCATCTAAAGCCTAACATTTGTCAGTAATAGGTATATTGTAGCACTAATCATCAACTAATATCCACCATAGAAGACATATTTTAATATATTTGAACTGAAAACTCATCGATACACTTGAACTCCAGCAGACTATAACTCCCTATGGGCATGTTGATCAATTGGTTAAACACGATATGCTGTGCAAGTTTGAGTTTTACTGCTAAGTTGGACCAAAATTTCTCAAGCTGAACTCCAAAACACTTGCCATTTTTTCACTGTAACCTTGTACATTCATGTGGATTTCAAGAATCCTAGTTATGAGAGTGATCCTCTTGCTGGATTGCATCACTTTTCATATTCATGCATTGATGTTGTGAGTCAACACTTCTGTACATTTTGTCTACAATTGTTCTAAAAGGCATCTTTTGCTTTATTTGCATTGTATATCACAATGTTTATATTCCAGTAATTTTAAACTTTGTGTCCCTTAGAATCAACTTCAAGGGAGTCACCAAGAAGCCTTAGCAACTGTTATAGCTCAGGCTGCTCAGGCTCATTCCGAGAGTCAGCTCAAATTGCCGGGGGTCCTATCTTCGTCCATAGGATTATCATCTATGCCTGTCACATCCATTTTAAGTCTTCCATCTGTCCCCGTGCTTTCAAGTCTTCAATGTTCAAATTCACAAGGACAAATTGTGTCACTGGTGGTGAATGCTGATAGCATTCATGTGGCCGAAGCGAACCAGAAGGATGCCACTGGCACTGATCCTAAACCTTTACCTGTTAAGATACCTATGGACGGTTACAACTGGAGAAAATATGGTCAGAAGCAAGTAAAGAGTCCTGAAGGTTCTCGAAGCTATTATAAATGCACATACATTGAATGTGATGCTAAAAAGATCGAGTCCTGTGATCAATTTAATTCTGTCACAAAAATAGTTTATAAAGGCCAGCACAAACATGATCCACCTAAAAAAGTATCTTCCAGGGGAGGTAAGATTTTATCAACTCCAAAATCACCAAAAAGAAAATCAATCTCGACACCTGGATTAAAGGACCATCGATCAAGTGGTTCTGTTGGCTGTGTTCCAATTCAAGTTGAGCAGGTTGATGAGCCACAACAAAAACAGAGGCAAGTCACCATTGTCGTGGTATTATCTCTGTGCTCTTGTCATATGGTCTTAACTACATTACCTCTTCATTGAATCAGAGTAAAGAAAAGCAGCTCAGAAAATCCTGGTTCTGTCCTGAAACATCCAAAAAAACCCAAGTTTATTGTACATGCGGCCGGTGACGTAGAAATATCAGCAGATGGCTACAGATGGAGAAAGTATGGGCAGAAGATGGTGAAGGGAAATCCTCACCCAAGGTGTGTGACTTGTTTCTTTTACATTTCTCACAAATCATGTTGTGGGTCGTTTCCAATTTAATTTGTCAGTCTGAGTACATGCAGCTGCAAGTTCGCCATGGCTTGACTGCAAAAGTTATTCCTCATTTGAATGTGAAGTAAACACACTCTTTAATTTAACTATTTATGGATAAATGTATAGTTACATCATTGACATAATTATTTATACTTTGACGGGAGAAAAAGAAATAAAAGCAAAAAAATTGGGTTCCATCTAAATCACTTGTTGTGAGCCTTTTCTGGAAAAGAGAAGGGGATAAAATAAAAGAGTTGAGGGTAACACCACTTTCATCATGCTGCTTTCTTCTCCTAAATGGGAAGGAAGGTGCATAAGTGGAACTCTGGGTATCCTCTTTAACCCTCTAATCAGAAAAACATTGTACAGGCCTCAAGGATAATCATGAAAATAAAAAACCAAGAAAATCAGTCAAAATGTCATCTTAGTATAGTGTGTACTTGAGAAGTGGATGATACAGTTGACTAAAGAAATAATAAGGGTAGCATTTGTTTTTCCTTAAGCAAGGAAGTGCTTATTGTAGATGATTGGTTGCTCTTTGGTTTTTTTACTTATTTATTTGGAGTGGCTGTTTGACAAGTGTGACACCTTGGTTAGTTTTTCTAATAGAGTCAAGGGGTAGAGAGATCATTTTGGTCCTTCTCTAAGGTTCTGTATGAAGAATTAGTTCCTAGGCTTTTCCAATAATGATGGATTTGGGGTCCTTTGTGCATGGAGGCTGTAGGTATGTGTCATTTTCTGGTGATCAAGCAAAGTTAGATTTAGATATTTTCTAGGCACACTTGTTTGCTTTTAGGAGTAGCTCTCTACCTTACCTTATGAGATTATACCCATAATGTGGCATTTTAAAAATACCAATTTCACTTTAAACGTCCTTATTGAAGTGCAAGGGAAAAATCAGAATACCTTCGTATTTACATCAATCTGATTAGGGTACTGAGATCTACACACACACACAGATACGCAGATATATTATCATTTCCATGATAAGTCGTCGTTCTTTGTTTTTGTAATAATATTTTTGAACAAGTTTGTTCTATACAACATATGTCTGAAGCTAATCTAACCAAGGGATGTATCTTAAATTATTGCTCGAGAGGATTGAGAATGTGGAATTATATTGTAATCGAAGATGCTTTTGTTATGTTTAGAATCAACTATCATGGACTAAATGCAGCTGTGAAAGGCATAAGTGTGTGTGTGTGTGTGTGTGTGTTTTCAGCATATAAAGAATGGAGAGAGGACTAAAGAAGGGCAACAATAAGGTGAAGACTATAGGAGAAATGGTTGTGCCTGTTGAACCAGACTGAATCCTACCTGAAAATGATGCAAAAATTGAGTTGACTTAACAATGCACCCAGCACACTCACCTTTTCACATCCAGGTTCACTAAATAGAGAAAAAAAAACAGTACAAATGATGAATTGTCGAGAAAATATTCACGGTAAACTAAACAGAAAATAGTCATATGTTTTCAAGTGTGAATCTGAATATATTTGTTTCAGGAACTACTACAAGTGCACATCTGCTGGATGTCTAGTAAGGAAACACATTGAGAAGGCTGTGGATGGTGCATCAGGGGTAATGATAACATACAAAGGAGTGCATGATCACGACATGCCTGTACCAAAGAAACGACAGCCTCCGCCTACACATCTTCTTAATGCCAAGAGAAGTGAATCTACCACTGAAACAGCAAAGACAAGTGAAACGACTCGAACCCTTTTGAGTGTTGGTTTCGAAATCAAAAATTACTGAGTGAGAGGCAGCTACATTTTGCAGGTAAGATCTAACCCCTTTCCCTAGATATATTTGGTGTCCAAATTGTTGTATATGGGTTGGAGGGTTGTGGTATGGCCTGTCAATCTATCCATCTTCAGGTCTCTAGTGCTGATTTAGTGTTTTTGTGGTGGTCTGGTCCTGCTGCCCAACCATATAATGATCTAAGAGATGATCTCATCTCATCTGAACCCATTTAATTGTATAAACAGATGTAGAAGATTAATCCATTTATATAATAGCTGAATCTGACTTGATTAAACAACATATATCAAAATTAAACAGATATATAATTAAATAAGGGGTTGTTTACCTAAATGCTTACTCGGTAAGTGTTTATCATTAGAAGTCAACACTATAATTTATTTTATTGGGTAAGATTGTAGTACATCAAAACGTATTCCATGCAACAAATTTCCTGGTAAGCGCTTACCCAGGTAAGAGTCGTCACCCTCACTTACCGGGTAAGACTCTCCATTCTTATCCTCGTTCTTACCGGGTAAGATTTTTGGCTCTTGCCATATTCATCCGGTGAGGAAAATTACCCGGTAAGTACTTACCGGGTAAGCGTTTAGTAAACAGCCCCTAAATTTATATTCGATGAATTTGTATCCCAGTCGGTAAAAGCCTATGTGATTGTAAAACCTGAAGACCAGATCTGTTGGATATTAGAGGAATTTGGTTTTGTCAAAATTATCAACATTTTTCTTTAAAAGTTTGGATTTGATGTTGTTTATGATTTCAAAATGGTATACGATTAATCATCAATTAGTTCCAACGTATTAAAAATCATAATTAGTCAAATTGATTAACCAAGTGATAAATGACACCTAGGTTCCCTTTGCAGGAATGTAATCCGATTTGAAATCCTACAGTCGTAGGATTTTGAAATTCATGGGATTTCATAGCATTGTATAAAATAAGATTTTAGAAAATGTTAAAAACATTTGTTTTGTAATAATCGATTAATAAAAATATAATTTAATTATTTTCATAACTGTTCACAATTTTTTTATAAATTTTTTAGAAGTAATGGAATCCAATTTCATTTCAAATTCTACAAACCAAACATACCAATGATTTCAAATTCATTCCAATCCAAATTTCTTATGAATAATATTGCAAAACAAATGGACCTTTACTTTTTCTTTAAACCCATGCCTTTTACACTTAAATCTAGGGGTGTTCAAAAACCCGACCAACCTAACCTAACGCGAAACAACTAAACCTAACAACCTGATATCTAATCAAGTTGTAAAATTTTCAAACTGTAGGTGTTTGGTTGATATTGGGTTATTTTATTTGAACTCAACCCGACCTGATGAACTCGATATTCTTTTATTTATTGGATTTAATATGATTGTTGAGTCTCTTATTGACAATGTACAATAGACAATTACACCATCATGTACTCTCTTCATATACATATATTTTCAATATGTTCTCCATCTCTATATAACTAGCTCATTTGTATATATGTCTAGTAATTGCAAACACACACACACACACACACACACATATATATATATATATATACACACACACACACACACACATATATATATATATATATATATACATAGGTCAAGATCAAGAGAAAATAACAAAAAAAAAATGAAAAACCGAGTAACACCCTAGTAACCGTTTATCTGGACAGTATACACATGTATACCAGTAACTTTAAGCAATTTTCCGGTATGCATATGTGCATAACATGCACCCATGTATAAAAACCAATAAACAACTTTAATTACCATTATGTACAGGTAGGGATGGCAATGAGTCAGATTGGATTAAGTTCGGGACCAACCCATTTATTAAACAGGTTGAAAATCTCAAGTCAATCCAACCCAACTCATTTAATTAAATGGGTTGAGATTTTTCAACTCAATCCAACCTGTTACCTAAATGGGTTGACAACAGGTTGATCTGCTTACGATTTTCTTAACCCAACATGTTAAATAAATATGTTGAACCTAGGTTGACCCATTTAATTTTAAAATTTTGGAGGCGATAATTGAGTAATAGACTAAAAGGGTTTTCTTCGGGTTTCATGATGATTAAGAGTAATGGAGGCGATTGGAATTTGGACTTTTATCTCAGGACGGTAGGATTTTTACTTAAGAATAAGACAAAACTAAAAATTAGAATACTAGATATAATATTAAGAATAAAATAAAATTATATAATATTTTAAATGGGTTGGTAACAGGTTGAAAACACGTCGAAAAATTAAATTCAACTCAACCCATTTATTTAAATGGGTTAGGCAGGTTGATCATTTATTTAAATGAGTTGAAAATCTCAACTCAACCTGCTAATTCTGGGTTGGGTTAGCAGATTAGGTCATTTTTTGTCACCCTTATGTACAGTTGCATACTCCAGATGAGCGGTCTAGATGTTCCTCAGCTTTTGAGGTTTTCTGAAATGGTTTATCTGTCGTTATGCACCCATTTCATCGAAATGGTTTCACAATTGTATGACCGAAATGGCTTCACGGTTTCATCAATACATTAATCAACGTAATGCCTGATGAGACATTTGTCATTTTCATGTTATTAGTAGATGAATCCATTTCATCGTAATAATGAAATTGTTTCACTGTTCGCTAATTACACATCTTTTTATCAATTATGAAATGATTCATTTTTTTCATGCACCCATTTCATCAGCCAATTTCTTCGAATACGAATGCATTTACCATTACATGTTTTGTTAACCATTAAGTGAACAAAATCATCCAAAAAAATAAAACAAAATGAAACAATTTCATCAATAATTGTTGATAAGAAAACAAGATTATGCAAGAATATTATATTACGCAACCAGTTCATCCCCAAAAGTTTCAAAAAACAAGCTCTTCAATGAATGTTTTCATGTACAAATCTAACATGAATATGTTTCACAGTTGATTATATTTTTACCGGTTCATGAATCTTTGTTTGGATCTGTTTCTAATTTCATGGATTAATGAATATAATAATTTTCGATTTTCATATTATTACCATTAATAAACCAAGAAACCAAATAACAATATTCAATTTTTAAAATTCTAATTTAAATAAATATTTAAATATTTTCATTTATAAAATTTCCTTTATCATGTCACCTTAATTAAAATTTATTAATAACTTCCATATTTAATAGAAAACAATGCAAATAACAAATATGCCTTTAATGATTAAATTTAATTAAGAAAAAAAGAAATTTTTCTATTGGTCGGAAATTATTTACACGGTTTCTAAGAATTAAAATTTATTAATAACTTCCATATTTATATATGTGTGTGTGTTCATATGATTCTTACATTAACAAAAATAATGAGATTTTTTGATTTTGTAACTCTCAATTAATGATATAGGAGTTACATAAAAAAGAAAATGACCTAAATACCCTTTTTCTTTTGTTCACATATGTTCATTGAAATTGTAAATTAAAAAAATCAATTTTTTTTCTCATGATTAATCATAAATGTTTATTGTAAGAATCAATGGCCAAAATTGGTTAACAAAATTAACACAATAATCTTAATTAACATTTGAACCAACCAATATATATATATATGCAAACTGAGAATGATATGATTAAATTTAAGAAATATGAATAAGTTGTACTAAATGATTGATAAAAAAAATTACAAGTAGACTAGATAAAACAAGATATGAAAAGTTAAAAAGAATATTTTAATATACCAAACAATCAACCGACCCGTATGGTTTGGGTTGGATTGGGTTATACTTTGGTTTAAGTTAAATTCAGTTGAGATTTTTCAAACTGCAAACATTAGATTGAGTTGTTCAAATGTTTTCAAGTTGATCAATCCAACCAATGAACACCCCTACTTAAATCTTTGACATTTTTTAAAATATATATAATAATATTTATATACAACAAATAAAACACACACTAGCAATTTTTTTAACCCTCTAGAAAGGTTGAGTTATGCAAGGCCAAAAAGCCAAAAAGCTCTTTGGTTCAAATCTTCTATTTTCATAAATATAATCCAACTTGAAAAATCAGTTGAGAAAACTAAAGCTCCAAAAAGTAAGAAACAAAATAGAGAAAACCTTAACTATTTGACAAACACGAAAACTTGATCGATTTTCAAAAGATATATGATTCAGCATGTCTGAAACATCGCATGATATGGGTTTCAGGCCTCGATTTATAAAAAGGATGGCAGGATTCTTAACCGGTTCTCTTCGATGAAAATGCTTCCAAACGCCCTCAATGATGGATCGATCATTATGCGGCTTCTGCTTCCGAATACACAAAAGGAAGCACACCCCATCAAGGATATTCTCTCGACGTTTCAACAACTCCAAAGGTCGTTGTCGTCGTAAATTTGGATAAACTGTAAACTGACCATAGTAATAGCTTTACCACTACACTGGAGTTCTGATTCATCCAAGACCACAAACAATACAAGACAAGCATAGCATACAAGATGGCGGACACAAAAGCTATATAAAAAAAAACCCAATTTAAGTTGAAAAGTAAGATATTCGATAAAATGAACCTAGGCCCTTTGAACAAAGGCAACAACGTTAACCATCTCTTTCTTACAAACTTGTGCCGTTGTTTAGTTTCAAAAATTATGAAGGCACCCAATGAAACGATACAGTGGTCAGCACCCTTTAGAGACGTAGTTCTTTTTCCATTATGATGGAACCATGAAGGGGTGGCCCGTGCCACCGTATTCCCCTATGTATGTCCGCCCTTGAAGATGTACATGTGAAAGTATAAAATAAATGCAGACACCCTCCAAAAAGCATGTCTTAAAGTTAAAGTGTCTGCAATGATGGATTACATCTTATTGAAGAAACCATTTTTACTGCTAATATAAGAGAAGATGAATGATGCATGCAATAACGTAATGGTGCACAGTCAAAGTCTAGATAACTCTTACAACATTATTGAGTTGTTGACAAGCTGTATATGCAAAGCTATGGAAACATCCGAGTTTGGACAATAGTAAGCTTACTTGTACTAATCCAGCACACCCCATGAAATGACATCGGAAAAAACACATCACAAGATCCGGAAATTACATCTGCAAGAACAAGTATACAAGAGTCGGGTCATATTCCATAGACAGATAAGAATGAAGTCACATACAAGTTGCCGATATGGAATGATTAGACCAATCAAATTTGAGGAAATGACAGGTGACACTCTCTCGCTTTTTGCACGTGAGAGTGGCCATCTTGTTAAATTTGTAAGAGTTGAATGGTTTGTTGTAACATGTCAACAAATGAATTGTAGAAATAAACCAAACCAAACCAAATGAGCGCAGTATATCCCACCCGAAGGTGGGGTCTGAAGGGGTGAGATAGACCTGACCTCTACCTTCAAATAGTAGAGCAGTTGTTTCCATGCAAACCCCTGGCTTGTGAGAAGTGTGCAAACTAGATAGAAAGTTCTACATGAATTGTACAACTGTTTGGTACACAAGTAGGACTGCATACTTGACTGGCATTGTGGCTGAATGATGAAGAGGCTATCTAATAAGAGTTCATCAAAGCAAAAAGACTAAAAAGTAATTAACTTGTTCGAACAATTGAACCAAGCTTTTTGTTGGAGAGAAACTATCGGTCTTGCCAAAATGCAAAAAACACCACATATTTATAACATCAGATGATTTAAACAGATTGCGGAAACATAAATGAAAAAAGACCATTAGTACTAGTCACTTTTTGTTCAAAATCACTCTTTCTTGGAAAGTGTAGCCTTTTTATTGCATTTTCACAATAATGATGGTTTGTTTGCAACAAAAATCCAAGTGCAATGCAATGGTTGGGAAATTTAATCACTCTAGAAGATAATTTACGTACCCAAGCAAGCCACGGCCTTGCCAAGTTCTTGGCGTGACTGTCAAGTTAATTGAAGTCCCTTGCCTCATAACCACCATAGGTACAGGATGGCCTTGATTCATCTGTGCTTCAGAAGCAAGCCTTGGTAACAAATTATCACCATATTCAACATTCCCAAATTTCACAATTTGATCTCCAAGTTGCAAACCATCCTCTGCTGCTGGAGATTCCTCAGTTATCTCATCCACCATTGCAAAGGGTCTGCTGACATCCACATCCATTTCACTGATGGGACCTCCCCCATTAGATGGACTGATATTATGCATATTGGGACCTGCAACATCACCTTGTAACACAACGGAAATGCCAATGAGTTTGCTGCCTCACATAAGCAACAAGTTTTTGTCTTACATAGCAATAGATATGAACTTTACATTGAGTTCTAGCAAGTAGTAAGGGTGCGTTTGGTACACAGACGGGACAGGCCATGACTCAACGGGCAAGAGCGAGGTAGATGGGTGAAAGAATTGGTCAAGATTTTAGGGTTTTAATTTAGCATGGGTAATTTAGTAATTTATCACTTTTGTCCCACCTCCCTGATTTTGGTTTTTCCACCTATTTTGGTGAGACAAAAAACATATCATTTTTGTCCCACTCAGTCCTGTCCTGTCCCGGTCTTAATGTCACATCTAACATGAAACAAGCTTTTGTCCTGCTCTGTCACATCCTGTCCCGCGTACCAAACGCATCCTAACAGTTCTAGGTACTAATTCTATGAGCTTCAGTATTCCACACATGCAAGAAATAATATGGACAAACTAATGAGGTTTCAGAAGAAAATTTTACAGCAAATCCATACATAAACAAGATGTGTACAACTAAAAAGTACACTATTTGCTAGAAGACAACTTTCTAAGACAGAGATCCATGGAAAAAATACGTATGCAAATTTAACTGGCATAGTTGTTGAGGACTCTAATAAAAAAACCAGCAAGGAATTTTTTTGGAGTGTATAATATTTATACAAGACAAATGTAACAAATAAACTCACACACCCTCCTTTTGGTGAGGTTTGATCCCCTGACCTCCTAGGAAGCCAAAGACTACAATACCGCTAGGCCAAAGGCCCTTTGGTAGCAAGGAGTAATTTCATGGCAACCAAAGAGCAATTCACAGATAAAACCATCTATAAGATTAAAATACATCAGTATCACACATTCATGTGGTATAAGCACCCTTTTGTTGCATGCTTGGCTTAGCATGTACAAGTGTGTGTTAGAGAAAAAGTGAGAGCAGAACAAGTTTTAGGGCAGGCAAGGCTGTTAGTATAAAGTCAACTGATGAGCAATCCATATGTCTAACTATAAACAGTCATATTTACTCCTAAAGAATTAGCAAATGCAGGATTTAAATTAGAAGCAACTAGAATGTTCATTTTACAAGTCATTAATTAATTTCTTATCACTGCCAACCTGAGTCCATAGCAGTTGAAGATTTTGAAGCAAGCCTTGCTGCATGCAGCAGCTCTATATTTTGGCCTATTTTCTCCGTTATATCTGTATGATCATTCCGCAGTCCTGTACCATGTCAATTTGAGAAAACGGTAAGAAGTTCAATGGAATCAGAAATGTATCAGCGAATTTCAAAAAACAAATGATTTTGGCACACCTGTAACGCTAAAGGAAGAAATTTTAGTGATCAAAGAAATAGCAATTAAGTTAACGACTTCACGAATAATATCCCTTGTTTTTGTCATACAATTTGTATATGTTGCCCATTGTCACACCCACTTCCTAATCTACGAGTCAAGGATTGTCCCAACAAATTTATTGTTTTACCAGGCAATCTCATATGATATGCAGCATTTTTATCGAATGTATCAAGTATTGTGTACTCTGACTGCATTCTTTAAAAAAGGGTGGTCGTAAGACCAAGCAATACCAGTTGGGTAAGATGACGCTTTTATATGATCCTATCACTTTTTCTGCTATACTTCCCAAATATGAGAATTCTGGCATACATCTTTGTTCCACAATAGCCATTCAGGCAAAGCTCCTTTACCGGAAACATTTTGATGTACCCTCGATGACTTGATGAACACACAATTAAATTAATATGGAATAGGACAGAGATTGAACGGTTACAATAGATTTCCAGGCACTTCGAGACTGCCAATGTCTCCCAAGGCTCTCGCCCAAAACACAAACTAAACTGATCGATGAAACCCTATTGGCCTGACCTTCCTTATTTATACTAGCCCACTAATACTACTTTTGCATTAACTACTTGTACTAATTTATTAGGTACTTGTACCCTAGCCTACCATATTTGACTATTTGACCCCACTACCTAGGGTATAAAAATACCCGCCCCCAAACTCTCAGCTTTGTCCTCAAGGTGGAAAAGAATCAAAAAGAAATTGATCCCAAGGTTTTACATCAATGACTAGTGGTGATGGTGGTTCCCCATGAAGATCATGTACCCAACCCCTAGTCAGCCCTTTATATTGCCTTGTCTTTGTGATCAAAATACCCTCTATTGACTTTAAAAGTACTGAACGCTAATCACAACAGCCTCTTTTCGCTCTTCCTCGGTTAGTAGATTTAGCAGGTTATCTCTCAGCCTTCACAATCCACTGATCTGGAGCCTTTCTGTCCATTTGGTGCGGTGAAAGTGGAATACTTACCACTAAACTACAGCCAACATCAAATCTAGGAATCACCCTCTTTCTAAGACCAACTGCGAAGATTGATTGGCACATCTCAATGATTTCAAGTACCACAACCTGGAATTTATTGGAGTTGAAGAAGGCCAATGCCACTGTCATGGAGATCCCCTTTCTCTTAGTTCAACTCTCACGTACAATACCCATACATAAGCAAACGAATCTTTTGTAGCTTCCATTTCATATTTTTGCATTTGTTTCCTAGATATTTCCATTGGAGGTGAAGTAGCCTTCCTAAGGGCGTACATTTTCCAGAATTGACATGGCCAATAATAGCAAGGTTTATGAGTTTCAGATAGTCTTTAGCTTGGTCAAGTATCAAGCACCTCTCAGGTTTATAGAGTGAATGAAGATCACTTTTACCCCTTTTTGGAATTCTAGAATTCCCAGATTTCACACTCATGGTCAAACCATATAATTCACTCGAAATCCTATGTGTTTGTATCATAAATATGGGAGCAAGTCTGTCCTCATCCACATATTCCAAGTTATCCTTTAAAATTGACTGTGCTAAGAAGTCGGAAAGTTTAGAGCTTGAGTTCAAGTTGGCTGGCATTCTTCTTCCGGAAATCTGATATACCCTAACTCAAATTACAAACAGAAAACGTACCTCCAGCTATTGAATTGTAAACGAGAACAAATGGAAACAGGGATTCGATAGACAGTCGGCAATTATGAATGAACAATTCTGAAATCGTCAGCCAATCTATTGTAAAATGGAAATCGATTACAACTCCCAGACTTTCAAGAGGTCTGGGATTCTCTCCTCAAAGCTCTTGCTTTGCACTCTACAACTGAATTTCTCAAACAGAATACCCGACGATAACCGAACAGCTATCTATTTAAGCTCGACGTATTTACCAAACTACCCTCAATTGAACAATACAAAACAGTAGTTGCTAACTAATGATTTCTTCTTCTACAAGTGAATCTCAACGGGGGTTTACCAAAATCCTAGATATTCTTAGCATGATATTGGGGAATCTCATTGCTATTACTCAAATCGACCATCGTTTTGCTGGAAGGAGAATAAAAATTTGACGATTTCTTGACATCGAATGCAACCTTGGCACCACATTTTTAATCCAGTCACCGTACATAGTGGCGGCAGAGGTAGCAGCAGCGGCAGCAATAGTCTCTGATAATCGTTGTCCAATCTCTCTCCCCCGTACGCCGTTGATGACATGGAGTATGTGGAAAAGTCGGCTACTCTTTTTACGTTTGTCACATGTTTGGGCCAACTTGAAATATCTTCATCGGGTTTGGGCCAAATTGAAATATGTTCATCTGGCTTGGGCCATAATAGGCTTAGTAAATCAAAGCCCATCGCCTTTTCATACAACGATCGATTACTCGCAATCGATAATGAAAGCCCGGCGATGGTGAAGAGATTGGTGATGGTGGTGATATCGACGGTGGCTCGGGTAGTGGGGACTGCAACAATGGTTGGTTGTTACCTAACCCCGTCCATTTCTGGTGATATCGACCATTGCTTTCTGTTTGCTCCCTCTTCTTCTCCCTATCTATAAATCCTCCTTTTTTCCCCTACAAATTCTTCTCCATATTGTCCCTCTCCATGGCAACACCTTGTTTTAGGGTTAGAAACAATTTACCAGATAAACACACGGTTATTGAGCAGAACTGAAGAAGAATCATCCACTTCGGATCCTCCCATCGTCTAAAAGGTCTCCTCTGATTCTCCCTACAAAACCATCGCAAGGCATCCCCTTCAAAGGAACTCGCAAAGACTTCCATTTGCTCTTCGTTGTTCAAGCATTTCAAGACAAAATACTTCTCAATGTTGTAAAATCCACCCATCGGGATTGTTGCCATTGAAAGATGGAATCTCTGATTTGTTGCTTTCAAATGCCATGGATCGACTCGATTCAACTCTTTTCTTCTCCGCAACCTTAATTAGCCTATCGAACTGCTTCATCATCATGTTCATAACCTCCTTCATGGATCCCATGGTCAATTCCAGATCCATTGGATAAGCCACGCTTCTAGTCGCCATCCCACGATCTCACTGCTCTAATACCAATTGATGTACCCTCGATGATTTGATGAACACACAATTGAATTAATATGGAATAGGAACAAAAAAGATAGAACGGTTACAATATATTTTCCAAGCACTTCCAGACTGCCGGATGTTGTAGGAACCCAGAATCCTCTAATATACCAATAATCACAGCTTAAATCAATAGACGAGCGAAAGCAATAACTATGACATTGGAAGGTTAGGAGAAATGAACAAAACACAAATGAAATTTGAAGTGTTGAACAAGTCGGCTGTATTGATTGAAGAAAGTTACAAGAAAACCAAGAACACTCTTAAGTGTGTGTATAGAAAAACTCTCAACAATAATCTAGACCTCACAAGTGTATAGCTATTTTCTCTAGCAAGAGCATCTTCTAATTTGGCAAATCAGAGAGTGTTTCCTTAAAGGAAGCACCCTTTTATATGCCATTTCCAAAACAGAATCTTTGATAATTCAGGCTTCAAACTCTGTCACAGCATCTAGAATCATTAGCCTTCACGATCCTTGAAAGTTGGAACCGTTTCTGCACACGTGCCGGTCTCTGATTGGAAAACTTGTGATATGTGTCGTGGAACATTGTGTGCAAGCTAAAGGGGAATGAGACCCAGAGGCTCTGCATGTATAGTGCAGAGGCTCTGTGTCTGGAGTTGTTGCTCTGCATCAAGTCCTTAAGCTTTTCGACGCTAAGACTTAATCTTCCTTGCTTGGCACGGGCTCTGTATGCGAGAGATACCTCTGTGTCCGAGTATTTCTGTGTCTTGGCGACATCTGCATTCGAGCTCTTGTTCCAGGCTGCTTCCTAGACTAAGTCCTCTTGACTAGAGCAAGAAGCTTTTTACTTACACTTCATGAAATATATATCTAAAAGATGTCTCCTAAGGTTCTCACCCAAAACACAAACTAAACTAATCGATGGAACCCTAATGACCTAACCTCCCTTATCTATATTAGCCCACTAATATTGTTTTTGCATTAACTACTTGTACTAATGCATTAGATACTTGTATCCTAGCCTAACATATTTGACTATTTGAGCCCACTACCTAGGGTGTAACACATTCGCACAATGGAGTCTAGATCATGCTTAACCTTGCAAATATTTTACTTGTATAATTGAGCATGACAGTTGGCAACCTCTATGATATATAATTTGGACGGTTTCAACCATCCCCCTCAATTATGGTGTCATATTGAACATTAACGTCGTTTCACATAAAATAAAACTAAAAACAAGTGAAATAGATTTAACATATGAGAAACAAGCATTACTTTGAGTTGTATATAACTGAGACAAATCATCATAATACCTACAAGAGCACTGAGATTAGTGCATTGCCATGTTAAGGATGACATTTACGAACCTGCAAGTCTATTTCGATCCGCTCGCACTAGTGGAATGTCAATGTCAGACCTCGGAAACCCCTACAGAAAATGAACTTTTCATAAATGCACTTCCATGTCAACTCCAATATCTCAAATGTACTTGCAACTTCTATAAGATGTAGTAAGTATCATACAGAAGAGCTATTGTGATCAAAATTCAGTTTGATATTAAAAAGTTAGAAGTATAGAAGATCTAAGTTAACATGGTAATTTGAATTGAAATTACAGAGAATTTAATGTATAACCATCTGGAAGAGATGGAAAGGCAGCAAGAACCCCACATTCTCAACTGATCTCTTTCTTGTATCTCACATCTGATGCCTATTGGTAGGTTGTTCACCATCAATCAGCACTGTTTCCACATATGACTAACAAATTGATTGACGCATACTAACTAGTCCATTTAATTGCACTCCCTCCCTCCCGATAGAAGTATCCTCAGAAGCCACCATTCTACAAGTGTATTGGTTTATCAAAATGGTATAAGTATAGTCATCTCAAGACTTGCATTCATGGGAGTGAGAGCAAATGTTTATATCATATTGAACATACATCTAGAAAGTAGAAACAAAATAGATAGCTTTTGGAGGATATTTTTTGAAGTTCAAGGAGAATTATAGAAACAACTCAAGGGAGCTTAATGTGAGATGTGACAATCAAACTGATCAGAATTCACTAATGAAAACCAAAAAAAATTAAACTGATTGAACACCCACATATAGAACAATGATCACATGTAATGATACTTTTTTTGACATACTGTTAAGGAATAAGGATGTCCTGGTGTAACTTAGTTTGTGAAAGTCTGTGACATTTTTGGACATATTGTTAGGGATATTTGGGTTTAACTCATTTTGTGAAAGTCTATGAACATAGTCATAGAAGTTCAAAATTTTCTGCAACTCCATAAAAAAGTTCGACCACTTCAAGGAATTGGATTGCTCAATAGTAATAAATTACTAGAGCTTAGTTATCATAGTACATTCAGAACTCGAAAAATTTCTGGTACAACATTTGTTTAAAGGGATTTTAACTTTTCAGGGACGTCAAGGAGGAACTATCGTAACATGCTCAAATAACTGTTTGAACCCCTATTTGTTGGAATTCAAATCCAGCAAGCAGCAAGAGCTCCTCCTCTTCTTCCTGCTCAAATGGTATAACAAAAAACAAGGAATACAAGGACAACCTTTTTCTGAGAATATTACCATTGTCCATTGCTTAAATAAAGTTTGCAAAAAATGGGTAGTGTTGCTTCCACTAATTTTTAAAATCTGTTGCAGGTTCTTTTCAGTAAGAAACACAGAAAGATCAAGATCACCAACTCCACCCTCACAAGCATAAACAGACTTAGATTGACAGCTAGTGATGGTATCACAACCTAAAACGAAGATATATCCCCTTCCCTCAACAACGAACTGGTAAACGGAGGTAACCACTTAATACAACTCAAAGGGCTTACAACACTCCACTTATAAAAGCTTTATAAATATACACACATATCATAGATTGCATCATGACGACAGAAAACCTGGTCAAGTAAGCAAGAGTTTGGACTATTTCATGGTTGAGGCATCAACTGTGACAAGAAGAACGAACTTGTACATACAAAATAATATGACATATAACCAACTGCTTTCCCATTCCAGAATAAAAAACCAAGATACATTTTAATTATGAGTATATTTATTACAAGAACGGTTACAAGATGATGAGAGCTCAATAGAACACAAATATACATGGCATATTCTCAAAGGATATTCAGCAATGAGTATGATCCATTCTTCCATGAAATCCAAGGTCTATAAGTTTTATAAATCCATTTATATTTAGCTACAAAATCCTTCTATTTGTTTTTTGAAGTATATAACAGCAAATACTCAGACACACTCCAGAGGTCCTATTTTAATATTTAAAACTTATGGTTTTAGTTTTCTTATTTTTGTATCAATAACTTCTTCACGTACTTCCAGATGCCCTGCCCACTTTATGTCAAATGAACAGGTTCGTTTTGACTTCAAATGATCATCTCTTTTGAAAAAAATTAAATTCTATAACTTTGTTTTTGCTAACATCATCAAACCTAACAAGTACTGAAAAAGGATGCTAGTGATATCAATTTGGTAGTTGGAGGGCAATCTTCTTGTAACAGAACATATACACGTCAATTATAAAAAAATGTAAATATATGTACAAAAATTTTAATTATATATCAAAGAAATATTATAAGTAATTGCCTCAGAGTCGACGAGATTGCCGGAAAGTCCAGGGCCGCCGGGCTGACAAAGACGCTCGATGATAACGTTCATTTCCGTCTCCAAAGCACTCCTTTTCTCCATTAATTTCTTGATCTCCGACTTTAAATCCATTGCTACCATTTTAACGCTGAACTCTCCGACTGGAATTTTGCAACGTGAGTTAGGGTTAGGGCTTTCTGAGAGATCAAAATAACTTCATCAGCACACAAAGTAGTCATTCCAATCACTGAAAGTTACATCCACGCCCCTTGTACTATTAAGAGTACAATACACATTTCGTCCCTGTGGTTTTTACAAAATTTATATTAGGTCCCTCAGAAAAATAATTACACATATGATCATCAAGGTTTCATTTTTATTATAAATTGAGTCCTTCAACTTAAATTAACTCTACTATCAGTTGCTCCAGTTAAAAGTCTGAGGTAATCATTTTACTTTTCTTTAGAACATAAAAAAATAATGCACCAATCAATCATTGTATAACTAGAAGCGTACTCGCGTAATGCAGCGAGATGCATCATGATTTTAATATTTCATTTTCTTCTTTATCTCAGTCGATATTATAATAYGVYTTTATGTGATTTTGAGAAAGTGATAATGTTTTTATTTTTGAATAAAATATATGTTTGA